CTTCATTTCTTACATTGTGCCTGTATACAACATTAGGGGGAATCAATGCAGCCATTTCTTGTCCCTTATTCTCAAGCATCTATCTATTTAAATTGTGGGGTACTTGGTGCTCTCTGAGCTAAGTAACATCGTCAGTGCTAGAAGGGAGTGGATTTGCTCTCTTTTTATATCCCAGTGTTGATGGGAGTGATTCCTTGATTAGGCTGTTATTTACTATTAGCTTGTTTGTCTGCATTTGTACAGTAGTTCCTCGATTGGAGTATTGTTTACTTCTTGATTGCTGGTCTAATATAAATCTTGGTGTTAATCTCTGCTCATTTAGGCATTGATTTCTGGTAGGGAGGTGTTTTGGGACCAAGTATGGATCCGATATGTAAACAATACCTTTGTCATAATAAAAAAAATCAGGTAATTATAAGAGGGGGGGAAAGTTGCTATAGTCATTGGCCTACTGTCCATTTGCCATTTTTTGACTCTATCCTCCTTCTCTAGGAATGACTTTGTTGATAGCATGAAGTAGCTATTTCTTCCCTTAAATATACTGTATCCTTGTTCACTTGATTTGCACAAAAGTTTGAATGAATTATTTACAGAGGTCAGCTTGTTTAGAAAAGTGTCATTTATTTTCTCTTCTGCCCTTGAACAATAGCAGAAGCCAACACAGTCTCCAGTCTACCTTGTTTTCTTCTTTCCTGGACAAGAACTAAGCTAGCTGAGACCACACAGAGGAAAGATGCAAGATAATTTCTCCTGAAGATTTAACTGGCTTTGTACTAACTTTTCCTCCCTTCTCATTCTCAGAATTGGACAAGAAGTGAACACTAGTCTGGAAATAAATTGAAATGATTGACCTAATCCTCAAAGGCTATAATTTGTTTGAAAAGAACCTGGAGCATTTTTGAATAAGATTGAAACTGCAATGTTTGACAAATATATAATCTTTATTAAATAAAATATCTCAAACAAAATTGGATACTCCAGCATTCAGCAAGACTTACCCTCTATGAAACAGTCAGCAAAATCAATAGGAAAATATTTTGATAATATAGAGAAATATCAGGATAGCCAGCTCACAGTCCTTATATGGCTCTTGTATCAATTTCAAATGTCTTCCAATTAGGGCTGAAATATATGGGCTGAAAAAATCCAGATAAGCACTAGATGGCAGCAAGCAAAGAATTACAGTTTTCTATACTTATTTACTGTTATTTAGTGGTGTTCTGATTTTGCATCTATATATGATAACTTAGTATTCCTACTAAGTCTAGTCCTAAGACATGGTTAATAACCTACAGTTTAAATTGTACACATAAAAACAACATATGAATTTCATACACATTTCATTATAATGTTGTCCCTCAAGCATATTTCGGAAAGTAAAATATGTGTCTTGTAGTTCTGCTTATGAAACTTTTTCTCCTCTTTAATGTTCTTTGGCATGTGCTTAGCAGCATAAACATATAATGCAAGTAAAGGACTTAAATCTTTATTTTCCCCCTTATTTCAGACACATTCATTGTGTGCTAATATGAATTGCCTGTATATGGTCAGTCATCAAAGAAGATAAAGTGAATTAACGCTGCCAGAAGAGAAAAAGCTTTTTCTTTCTTTCTTTCTTTCTTTCTTTCTTTCTTTCTTTCTTTCTTTCTTTCTTTCTTTCTTTCTTTCTTTCTTTCTTTCTTTTTCTTTTTCTTTTTCTTTTTCTTTCCTTTCTTTTCTTTTTTCTGCCTAAATGTAATAGACTTAATGGCCAAATTTCCCTAATTTGAATTGTCCCTACCTTGTTCTTTTAAAAAGTTTTTTTGAGTTCAGAACTTCTTAAATGCTTTAGGATTACATGGTCCATTAACACATTAAAAATCTTACAAAATACTTATTTAATTTAGGATATTATAATTAAAATACTAATATAAAATCATATAAGGAGAATAGAATCAGTGTAGTCATAATAGGAATCATAGAAGAATCATTGAATTGTCGAAGTAAAAAATGTAGAATTCTGGAGCTGGAAAGCCAATTTCTCTGCTTCAATGGATCCAGGAAATGGTAGCTCACCAAATCTCTGGGTAAAACTTTTCATTGCCAAATTGTTCTTATTGTTGGGGAAAAAAATTCTAACATTTGATCAAAGCTAGCATTCCTGTAATCTAAATCCACTGTTCCATATCCTTCACGCTGGAATAACAAAGAGCCGAGTGATGTTGAAAGAGGCAGTTCCAAAAATCCTTTGTATGTTCTAGTTCTGGATTTCTTGCCTAGAACCAAAGGCAATGGGGAGGGGAAGCTGGATAAATGATGAAACAAGCATCAATTTGGTTTGACACAAGCTCCACCCCTTTTGTTTGGGCACTGCAATGTAGAAAACGAGTGACACTTTTGTCATGTCATGACATTCGTCATGGAACCATTTTGCTTGTTAGAACACCTCTGCACACAGCAGGAGTTAGTGGCCAGATTAAAAATTGGAAATTCTGCAAGAATTATTCTAAACTGTTTTCTATATTCAGTTCTTCTCACTGGAGCCGGGACTTTCATGAAATTCAGTTTCATGACAGATGAAACTCATTGATGTTGCTTCTTGGTATGAATTTTTAAAATGTCACATTTAAAGTTTGACACCTGAAGCTTGTTTCTGTAAGACTCTTATGCCTCCAGTATAGTGACCAAAAACTGCTAATGATTCAGAATGAATAGTTGGCACATTTTGATCAAATAGTATTCAAAGGCCAGATTAAAAATTGAAAATTCTGCAAGAATTATTCTAAACTAGAATAGAGTACTTGTCATTTTTTCCCCAACTTCTAATGTTTAGCTGTCATCTCAGTTTGTGTGATTAAAGGAAAAGTTTTCTACCCTGAAAACCTCTGCCTCCTCATAATATTCCTTTTCTACCACATTTGCATCTCAACTTTCTTCTAAGGCATATAGATAGTTAGATCTCTGGTTAGATCAATAGACATGCCAGGTTAGAATGAAAGAAAGATTCACACATTGCATTATGTCGTGATTTGTTTTGGATAAACCATGACAACTGAATTCACAGACATTTTATTTATTTATAAAATTTATTGGCTGCCCATTTTACCACAGGGTAACTCTGCATGGCTTACAGTTACATATTAGTTAAAACAAAATGTTAAAATCAAACCTGAAAACCAAAGACACATGGGGAAGGCAGTATGGGGGGGGGGAGGTGGGATCTTTTATTACTCAATCAACCACCTCAATTGTGCTGTTCCTCCACTGGGGCCCCAAGCTGACTGGCACAGCCACGACTTTAGGCCCTTATAAAAAGATAGGAGGGTTGGGGCCAACTTCACATCGGGGGGGGGGGCAAGACATTCCAGAGAACAGGAGCAACAGCAGAGAAGGCCCTCCTCTTGGACCCTGCCAGCCATGGATTCATACCAGTGGTGGTATGAACTAATTAACTAATTAATCATTAAAGTTGTCTTCAAAGCTTGTTTTCCAAAATGATTATTTTGGTTTACAGAGGCTTTGTTTCTCTCCATGATGAAAATACTGTTTGATTTTTCTGATTCAAACAATGGGTTACATAGTTGCTCAGTCTTTGCTAAAATGTGAGCAGTACATGTGGGCTTGAATATTTGTCAGAATTAAGAGATTTTTTACTCAGTTGGATTTTTAACATTATTAATGAATATATAAAAGCCAACTGGGAAACTAACATGAATCCTCCAGTAACATTGTGGAATAATAATAATAATAATAATAATAATAATAATAATAATAATAATATAATGGCTAAGAGCAGGAAAATTGAAGAAAGAGATCGAGGGACTAATTCTGGCTGCACAAGACCAAGCCTTAAGGACAAATGCATACAAAGTCAAAATTGAGAAGAAAGCAACAGACCATAAGTGCCGCCTATGCAAAGAAGCTGAAGAAACAGTGTACCACTTGGTAACTGCTGCAGGAAGATTGCACAGACTGACTACAAGCAGCGGCATTACAAAGTAGCAACAATGGTGCATTGGAAGATCTGCAAGAAATATCATTTGCCTGCAAGCAAGAACTGGTGGGACCATAAAATAGAGAAAGTCATAGAAAATGATAAAATTAAACTGCTCTGGGTCTTCAGAATTCAAACAAACAAGCACCTGCACCATAACACCCCGGACTTAACAACTGTCGATAAGAAAAACAAAAAAGTCTGGATAGTGGACGTGGCAGTGCCTGGAGACAGCAGAATAGACGAGAAAGAACTGGAGAAGATAACAAAATACAAAGACCTACAAATAGAAATAGAAAAACTGTGCAAAAGCAAGCAAGGGTAGTACCAATAGTAATAGGTGCCTTGGGTGCAATCCCAAAACAACTGGAGCACCACTTGAACACATTGGCATTGACAAATTCGCCATTAGTCAATTGCAAAAGACGGCCTTACTAGGAACTGCTTCCATCCTGCGACGATATCTGTAATACCATCAAACATCCACATCTGCCAGGTCCTTGGTAAGGACTCGATAGGTAGACAAAAATGCCAAATCCAGTCTGAACATCTGGCTGACTGTGTGATGATTAATAATAATAATAATAATAATAATAATAAAGTTGGAAGGGACCTTGGAGGTCATCTAGTCTAACCCCCTGCTCAGGCAGGAAACCCTATACCATTTCAGACAAATGGCTGTCCAGTCTTTTCTTAAAAACTTTGTATGAAAGTAGACAAAGAGGTAAACCTGCACATTGATATTACTAATGAATAAAACATTTTGTTCATGTTGGGAATGTTTTGGGGAATATTAAATAAACATATTTTTTTTGTGAAAATCCTTACCTCAATCCTTGATTATTCTTCTCTTCTTGAGAGAAGATAGGTTCCCTTGTAATTGCTCTCTCAAAAGCATTTCTATATTGTATGATGGAGTTGTAGAGACAAATTTCCCTATTATTCCTTAAAGAAGTGGCACAAGAATACTAGTTGATGAAAGAGGAGCAGAAACCTTAAGCCAAAAGGTTCAGAATTTACAGTTCAGAAAGTTCTTTCCAGCTGGCCCTGATCTCCACAGCAACTATTGTCAGATAGCTCTTGTGCTGCGGTCAAGCAATTCAATCCAATTTCTTTCAGGCAGGAAAGAAAACAGGAGAAATGTGTTAATAATTTGAGAGAAAGGATGAAATTGATTAAGGTTTACATGATTTGATGATCAGGTAGCAAAGAATTTTCTTGGGGGAAAAAAGTCTTTCCAGCTGCTGGTGACAGGCAGTGAGAATCAATTTAATGGAAATTTGTTACAAGAAGAGTAAAACAATCTGAGACTCAACAGTCTGTGAAGAATATCAGTGTCTAGCAGGTCATGAAATACTCTTAAGAATAAATAGGCGAATTCTCATAACCAGCTTCCCCCCTGCATTTATTTTTACCCCCTCAAAAATAGCAGAAAATCTTCTATAAACAAACTCACTACATTATGATCAGAAAAAGTCTTTGGTAAGATTTCTACTTTCTTAGTAACTTGGTTCTTTGAAATCCAAATCATATCTATTTTTGAAATTCTTTCTGAAATATACATATATTCTTTAAATTTACTTTTTGTTGTTGTTACACAACCTCTATCCTTAAATGGTCCATCAAAGCTAAAAAAGCATTTGGTAATTTGCCTTACGTAATTTTAATACTTTTTTTCAGGTATTTTATCCCACTGTAAAGAAATCATTCCATTCAAATCCCACATTAAACACCAATTTTTATAAGAAAAACATTAATTTTGCCATATGTTGCTTGTTCCCTCAGGTTTGAGAAAGGATGATTGTCCTACTGCTGGCATAACAAGGCCGCTAAGGAGGGAAAGGTAGGTACAGAGATTGAGTAACAACTCAGAAAATCAGAAGCAGAGCCACTCCTTCTGATGAAGTTTTTTCCAATGAAATGTGAGTTAATCTAGTAGTGACTGTGCAGGATTCCCATGGTAAATAAGATTATTTAATTTTCAATAATGTAAATCTTTGGGGATTTTAAAACAATTAGTGGGACTTTGTTCCTTTTATGGAGGTGTCAAAAGAAGGTTAATTATTGATTTGAATCCAATAGATGCAGCTCTTCAACCTGAAGAAATGCAGCACTGATATCAAGCTAGTGGTCAGTACTTTGAACATTGTATTTTTTCTTAAAAAAAAACAAAACAAAACAAAACAGCCCTTAGCTTCTTAGAAGCATTTGTTGAAATAATTCTTTGAGCTTGCTCCTTTATCTGCAAAGTTATCAAGGATTCATCTGGATATAATATCAAAGGAGCCATCAAGATATCTAATGTACTTCAAATTTAATGACTTCCCAATGGTTTAAATGGAATTGGAGTTAAAAAATAAATCAATTAATCAGCCAGGTTTGCTGGCCAAAATGTGAACAGAACTATTTTGTCATCCCTTCAGAACATGGGACTGTATTCATACAGCTGCTGTACCATATTCCCTTCCAATCCCAGAACTGACTGGAAATCATGATACTCTGATCTTGCTGCCCTCACAGTCCACTCTAACCAGGTATGTATGAAATAGGTTTCTGCTCTTCTGCTAGGCATACAACATGATGTGTGGTATCTCATAATTGACATCTTCCTCAACTGAAAATCCAGCCCTGCTTTGGCGTATGGGTGTTAGGGATTCAGACTTCTTTTCTGCTGGTGAGAGCCAGCTATTGCAGAGTAAAGGAAGGAAAAAAAAATCAATTCTGGCCTTGAAGGACAGGTGCACTGTCACAAGGCCCAAATGAACTGATCTGACTACTAACCAGGGCTGTTGTGTTGAGATGTGAGACAACTATAGATGTGAGCAACTAGAGCTCTGGGAGGGGAGACATTCATTTCCTCAGTTGCTGGGAGACAATGTGCCCGCCCAACCTAAAAACTGGAGAGAAAAGGAGATAAAAAGTCTGCACAGAATGAACAAAATGGCTGGACCATGACCCAAGAGGGGAAGGAGGAACTTGGCTGGCTATAGGTGGTGGCTTCATCCAAGCCATCCAGAATATTTTAGGAGTTGGGCAGCTTTAACAAATCCAATTAAGTAAAAAAAAAAATACATTCTAATTCTTCCTCTGAGAATGCATTCTTTTGATTTGACACCCAGAAACTTCAGATCTATCTAGGAAGGACAAATATGTCTCCTCACACAAAACAGTTTGGGCTTTGCAAAGTTTGTAGGCTTGCCTTCTGTGAGGCAAAAGCATTTCAGTGAGGCAGATTATAGTTGTTCCACAAAATCCCGGGGTTTACTTCATGGGTCCAAGACATAAAGGCAACCACAGGAGATGAAAATAAAACCTCAATAAAATACATTATTTTGTGCCTGAAATTCAATTTCTGAATTTTGCCATATTAAAAAAAGAGGATAAGTTCTGACTGAGACAACTTTGAATTGGAAAAAAAAAATTCAATTTGTGATGCCAACAGTCATGGTTTCAATGAGTGATCTCATATTTTCAGCATGTATGTCGGTATGTCCCTGTGGAAGAAGGAGGAGGAAAAAGAGGAGAAGAAAATTCATTGCCTGTAAATTGTGTGATACTATTGTTTTATTGCCATTAAGAAACAATAAAGTAAATATCCATCAGGAAATTCAAACTGTATAAATGGCAACATACCAGAAAAATGTTTCTCATTCCCTTTTAATAGTGAAAAGCAACATTCTTGGATCATTAATTTATAAATATAATCAAATATTGGGATAAATAACAATGAGAGTTACTAATGAATTGGCTTCCCTCATCAATCAGTAAACCTATATTCTCAAGCAGTAAAGTCAGTATTTTTTCCATCCAAAAGTTGTTATGGAACAGAGAAGGACTCATCCATCCCTACCTCCAATCCCCTATATGACTTAGCGCCAAAATGGCCTGCTTACTCTTTTGTGAGGACATGCCCCCAAGAGGAGGCCTCCATCTTAAGGCCCAACTGCCTCAGAAGCAGGCTGGAACTTGAATAAAGAGATGGGCAGGAAAATAATGCTTTTCCTGCTATTGGAAGACTATGGAGAAGAGCGGTTCCTTCTCCTCTGTTGCCTGTCTTCCTTGCCATTCCCCCAGCTTTCTATATACCACACCCCTTCACCCTTTGCTGCTCCCAGCCAAACATGGACTTTCTCAAGGGCAGCTTTCTGGGACATCCACAGAGAAGAATCAAAAACATCAAGATGATGATCACAAGTATATGATTGAAGTGCTACCCCCTTTTAACATTTTTATCTATTAAACACATTTATATAGGTGTCCAATTCACACATAGGTGACTCAGGGTGACTTGCAAATTTTTTGCATGCATACTGTGCCTGGAGAAAGGAGCAGGGTTTTGAAGCTGCCATTTTGACTTTTTTTAACCCTTCTCCTCTCATGTCTCTGGCATCAATTAAGCTGCAACTGCTGTTGTTGCTCTCCAGCAAATGTGAAGAACACTTTTTATTAGTACACACTTGTTGGATAGAGATTTGGTTTGACTCCTTAAGCCAGTTTGGTGTAGTGGTTAAGTACTGGCTTAGGAACCAGGAGACCTTGAATTCGAGTCTCTCCTTAGGCATGAAAGCCAACTAGGTGACCTTAGGCCAGTCACTCTCTCTCTCATCCCAAACCACCTCACAGGGTTGTTGTTGTGGGGAAAATAGGAGGAGAAAGGAGTATTTATAAGTAATTATAAAGGCAGAATAAAAATCAAATACATAAAATAAATAATACTCTTTGCGAGACTCCTACACCTCATTTTGAAGCTGCTCCCATAATGTTGGGTTGTTTTAAAACTGAGTCACCTTATTGCATTAGGATGAGAATTGGCTGCAAAAATGGACCATTTATTTATTTTGCAATCTTGAGGCTTGTGAATAGTGAGATTTTTAGTTAAGTTTGCTCTTGTTTTACTGTATCTCCAGGATCTTGGGTGCAAAACTGGCTCTGTTCCATGTCCTAACCTAACTGAAGGAATCCAGGCAATCTAATCAGTGAACTCCATCTTATATCTGCTATTCAGTTTCACAATCCCTGTAAAAGTAACTGACAATTTTGGTTTTCTTTGCTTACACATGTCTGTGGAGATTCTCAGTCATTCATAGTTGTCCCAAAGGTACTTTTTCAAAAGGCAACTGGACTGTTTCTTCCTTGAGGGGGAAGAAGAAGATGTTTTGCTTCTCATCCAAGGAGCTTTATCAGTTCTGGCAGGATGGTGGGGGCTATAGAGGGATATGTTCTGACAGAATGGGGGAAGTGGTTGGAAGAATCATATTTCTTTGTAGTCATCTTACACAATACAAGCAGTGACTACTTCTGGGTGAACCTTTGCCTCACCTATTTCCTACCTGAGCATTTGATCTGAAGAAAATAATTATTTTACTTCCCCAACAACCTGAAGTGCTTAACTACACTACAGTTGTCAACCAGCCACCCAAATTGACAGTATTTTGATAGTTACTGAACTCCATTCCTCTCTCTCTCTCTCTCTCTCTCTCCCTCTCTCTCTCTCTCTCTCTCTCTCTCTCTCTCCCTCTCTCTCTCTCTCTCTCTCTCTCTCTCTCTCTTACTTCCAACTCAACTTTCTCCAGACACACAAATCTGAATGAGGAGTGCTTACTTTATATTTGTTTTCTTTAAAATGAGGTGAGGACAAAGGTGGGGGGGAAGGTATTACTATTTTCAAGAGCAGTGATAATGAATTGAAGATGATTCAGGATTTGTCAGTGATGTGACTGGTGGACATGCAGTGAAAACCATAGGTAGAAATCCCTTTAGAATAATTGCAGAATAATTTAAAAAGGATTGGACAGCCATTTTGTATGGTATAGGGTCTCCTGCTTGATCAGGGATTTGGACTAGAAAACTTCCAAGTTCTTTTCCAATTCTGTTGTTCTATTATTCTGTTAATTGTGAACACTTCCTATCTGCAGTTAATCAATATACAATTATAATAAATATAAAAACAGGAATAGAAACAATAAAAATACTTAAAATATTTCTTCTTCCTTCTTGCTTATTCAAGTAAGCATTTCTATTCCTGTTTTTTTCAATAACCTCACCAAAATAGATTTAGTGCAAGGAAGAGAAATAGCCAAAGAACAGGGATAGTATTCCAAGCACTTGTTTATTTTCTTGCTTTAAAAAAAAACAAATTAGCATTTGAATTCTTCAATTCATTCAATTCTTTGAATGCTTACTGTTCAGTTACATGGCACAACTCTGTAAAAACAATGTTAAGGGTCCTTAGAAGGACATAGCAACTTTTTAAAAAGCTGCATCAAGGAGTCAATTCAGAAAGAAAACTTCACACTCAGAACTGATTCAGGTTTTTTGTTTCCTTTCTGACTTGAATAATATAAAAAATAAATGTAAGCAACAAATGTTACTTTAAAAAGACTATGCATCAATATATTCCCATTTCTGTGCAGCTTTGTCCCACAGACACATGCATTTGTTCCATGCACTTCTAGAAATGTATTCTGCTACTCTGCTGCAGCAAAAGCCAAGGAGTCTTGTGACATGGCAGGAAACTTTCAACTTACTCACCTTGAAGGTCATGCAAGACTATATTATCTTATCTGGAAGACATTCTTTTGACGCATCAAGGTGCTTCTTTTGTTAATGAGAAAGTCTGGGGCTATGACGAGGGGGTTGGACTAGAAAACCTCCAAGGTCGCTTCCAACTATGTTATTCTGTAAAATGCCGGGATAAAAGCATTTGACTATTCTGGCACTGACAGGGTTTTGGGTTTGTTATTGTTTTTGTTGTTTTTTTAATTTGTCCTATTTGAAAAAATCCTACATTGAAAGGATTGTTCTGTTTTTCTTACTGGCAGATTGAAGATGGAGTTGTAAAGGAATGCTTATTCTCTGAAAAAGATCAAATAAGTCCTCCCCTCCCTATTTTAGGAAGGAGAGAGAACAAGAGCAAGAGAGTACAATTTACAATTAAAGAAAAAACACCAATCGGCAATTGAATTACCACCTAGGGGTGGCAAAGCAAGCAGAAACTCTTTGATCTATGCTTTGCTTACACATCTCTGCTAGGAAATTGGGTCAGAGAGGTATGCTTAAAGACTCTGGCCCGGGGGTTTGACCAGCAGGATTAATGTTCCTCCGTTGCTAATAGAGAAATTATAATAGGGAGCGACCACAACCTCTCTGTGTCCTCCCCCTTCTTTCCTCTCTCTCCCACACAAACATTGTCATCTCTATAGGAGAAGTTATATGTGAAAAAGGGAGTGTGACAGGGGAATTATGCATGCCTATGAACGCCTGTCTTGGCTCCAACCACTGCTAACCATGCATCCATTGTTGAAGTTTCTGAAGAGTTTTTACTCTACGGTTGCAGCTCTTCATTCAAATTGCCAATGTACCTGTTATAGCTGCTTAAGTCACAGATTTTCCTGCAAAGTCTCTTGTTCAATTTGTAGAAAACAAATATTGTTATGTCCCGAGCCTTGCAAACGGCTCGGGCGTTTGCAGGCAGTCCCGGGCAGGTGCAAAGCTGCCCGGGACCAGACAGGCTGTCGCCAGCGCCGTGCGC